CACTCAGTCTGTGTTGTCTTACAGGCTGCTAGCAGCATTGAGAGTACTTTTTACAAGGGTTTTATATCTGTGGAAAAAAATCAGATTCTTTCAGATAGATTCTTGATTACTTGCTATCATTGTTAAAAGCAAAAGCAAGGAAATAAACATTTTGGCCTTAGTAGTTTTATTTTGCAACACCTGAATTCACAAAAATCTTGCAGTATGCAGTTACAGAGCTAGTTAAACTGAATGCATGCTGTTACTCGTTTTGAAACTAAAATCCAGAGAAACTTCAACTCTTCGAAGATGACTTGAAATAAAAAATAGAAAAACCAGCACAAAACCTAAAGGATTAGTATGATGCATTGACCAGTCATGTATTTGGGCTGCACTTACACAGAGAATGAATATTTCTTCTTTTTTGATCGCCTTCAAACAGGAATCATTGCTTTCTGGTGTATTAGTACAGACAACACCTGTGCCAGCAAAGAACATCCTTTATCGGAAGTTGACATTAGCTGGTCATCTTCTTACCTCCAGATACTCTTCATGTCAACCCATGGTCCTCCTTGCAGAACTTGGATCCAAGTGGGGAGTTTCCTGGCTAGGCCATCTCAGATTTGGATATCAGAAAGGGCGTGGTGTGGGAGACTCTTACCTGAAGTCCCCCTCACCAAGCTGAAGTGTGAATTCTCTCCAGGGAGAGGTAGGAGGGCATTGAGATTCTGTCAAAAATGTGCGTTGTGCACATAATGTCTGAGCTCTTGCTCTGTGCCTCAGCTCCCCTAGCTATAAGACAGCCGGTATTAAAAATAAGGTGAAGTGTAGTGAGTCAATAACTACAACGATCCCAGCGGGGGCAGAAAAACTAGAATGCTTTATTGGACTTACAAGTTCATATTTAAAGGGTTTAGGGTCTACATATTCAACAGGGGGTTGTAACTATTACAATTTATTACTAACAGGGGGTTTCAGGGGATGACATAAGGGAAAAACCCAGGTTAACAAATTTGGGGTCTTATACATCATAGGGGAAAACCCATCTTATCCTAGGGGAATTACATGGGGGAAAGAGGTATTCAGGTTTGCAGAATGCACAGGATCCAGGGAACACAAAGGGAGAGATAAAACACAATAAGTCTTCTGCACTGGCTTGATGAGATCAGGGTGTGGACTCTCTGGCTTGGGCAGGGCATGTGATAACATCATGCAAGGAGTCTCTTCACATTCTGCTGGAGAAGGCAGGAAGAATCCACAAGGATGAGGTCAATGAAAAAGGGGTTTTCCGAGCTTCTGTAGCCCATGACTTTTTGCAAAGACCACTCAAATCTCTCTCTGCAGATATTATGTTTTGGGATCCAACAGTCAAGTCTTGAAGGATGCAGACGACATTATTCTCTTCAGTAGAAGTATCGTAAGCATGCCATCATTTCTGAGAGTTCAAAGGAGGATCAGAAATAAATTGACACAAAAGCCTGAGGATGGCCTGTGAAGTCTTATTTTGCAGCAAGCATACAAGGGATACGTGGAGGGATATGCACTGTCAAGGGAAAGAGAACAGCAGCATTGGTCAATCATGCCCATGCTCCATCAAGGAGTTGGCAGAGGACTTGATTTTGATGGTCTGGAAAAAATAAAGGACTTCTTCATTTTCGAGCTTCGTTTCTGTGAGAAGTGGCTTTCATTCAATGACTGTCCTATAAGATGGGATTTTATTAGGTTTTTTGGTGGGTGTTGCTGCTGAATGACCGTGAAAAAGAAAATCATCCTGGTAGCTTCTAACTTATGTTCTCAGTGATAGTGCTTGCTGCATTAGGAGTGATTTCCTCTAATTCACGTGATTACCAGTGGCACCTACATACGTCACTGCTGTGTTACATACGATGATTGTAGATACGACCACCACTACATCACCTTTTAATGGTCTTATCAGTTATACAAATGCTAGAAATCTCACCACAATTATATAATTTCCAGTCTCCTACCTAAATGCTTCTTTCATGACTGGAGTGGCAAAGTCCTGTTGAGCTCTCCGTAGGCACTGCCTTAAGCACCATTTTAATGATCATTTTGATTGACATTACTAAATGGCCTGTGATTTCTAACTGTAAATCAAGTCAAATGGAGATGCTGGCATAAGAGATGGGAGTCAAAGAGGCTGGTCTCTGGCTGCATTAAGAGAGAGATGTTGGATAAAACTGCAAACAATTAAGAGCTCCTGAAGGAAAATGTGTGATGTAGATCCCTGCTGGCAGTGTGAGACTGGAAGAATCCTAATAACAGAGGAGCACTGTAATGTCTGTTGAATTGTACTCCCTTTCAGAGCAGGTGTGCAGAGCTGATGCTGGGACAGTGGCAAGCAATTATATAGGGAGGAGAAGAGCAACTCCTTGCTGGCTCTCAGACTGAGAGGAGCAGACTGGGAGGAGACTGCTGACCGCAATGCTGCTTCAGCACAATTAAAAGGGATGAAGCTCCAGAGTAAAAGATAAATGTGTAATTCAGCTTCATGTTTAGGGAGTGGTTGTTGTGGCCTAAGCACTGTATGAAAACCAAACAATCAACTTGTTTTCACCTTTTCATCATTATTTGTTTTTAGTATAATTAGCTGATTTTCCCCTTCATCTACCTTTCTACGGCTGCTTAGCAGAACTGAAGAGACGATGCAGGCTGGCCTTCTGAGGAACCTTGATGTAAAAATGTGGGTTTAAGAATGAGTCATCTTTGCTTCACTTAAATGTCTGTCCATTCTCTTTCATGGTTCAGTGAGTCTGTACATACATCATTCATTGCTGGAAACTCTTGTTCAGCTAAAATGACATCTTTGTCAACTGACATTTTGAAAATCCCTGCTTTATTTTTGTCTGTATTAATTCCATTATCTTGTTCTTTCTCATCAGGAGATATTTCAAAGCCCTCTCTCAAAAGAGGAGTGGCATTATTGACTGCAGCTTGGTGCATGGTGTGGAGGGTTTGTTCCAAGTGACAGAGTAGGAAGCCCCCCAGGTTTGATGAGCTTCAGCCCCAGGACCTGGACTCTTGAGCCCATCACTTAGAGGTGAGCCCCTCTTTACACCCAATTCAGCAAGCCTGCTCAGAGCACAGCTGTCAGCTCAGCTGCTCATTCAGCACACACAATGAGTAACTGTGAGCATTACTGAGAGAACTGGAAGAGGTTATTTGGCAGAGATAAACAAGGACAACATTCACCTGTGGGGAGCTCTGACTGCAGCAGGACCCTCTGCACCAAAGGCAAACGTGCACAGGCTGTGGGGCACAAAGCTGAGCAGCAATGTGAAGCACATTTGAGTTTTGTGTGGAAAAGGAGCTTTACACACTAGCTCAGTTTATGGCAATGCTGCACAGCCACTGGGTGCAGCCTGTTAGTTCCACACATGAGCAGATTTGGCATCCTCCCTCACCACAGGTTGTGCCCAGACTCAGACCAGCCTGCGAGCCATCCCTTGACACCACTCTTAGCCCCGGACCTCTCTTACATCGTGATTTTCAAGAGAGCCTACAGCTTGCTTTTTCCTTGTTGACCATCCTATTTGCCAGGCCAGTACAGGCAGCCCTTTCCCTGGTCTGGAAAGCAAGGCTTCTCAAAAGGCTTCTCAAAAGGACCCATTTATTCTTACTGACTAGAGGGATCACAGAGTATGACCAAGAAAAAAGCGACTGCGTTGCGCTGTGGGGCTTCCAGGTTAATCTGTGCACTAGACCAATGCATATCTCTGCTGTTCACAGTGCACTATCAGCATCACCATCTGTGAGGGCTGTGTGCTGTGCCAACTTGGCGTGGTATGTTGGGTTCAGTGACATCTGTGAGAATTTGAAGCACCTGACACTTGAAATTGGTCTTCCTTTTCAAAATAGGTGATGGATGCCTTAACCCACTGTTTGCATCAGTTTTTCCCAATTATTTACTCAGAGGCTTCTAAGGTTTTGAGTAGTAAGAATTTATAGTCTTTTTCTTGTCAGCCTCAGCAAACTGCTAATGGTAATGCATTCCCAAAATTCATTATGATGGATGTGTGCCTGCATGAGTATTTAAGTGTATTGCTTTTTATTTTCAGTCTTGTATCATGAAAGAGATCATATGGAGGTGAGCTTCCACTTAGTTTCTTATTTAGGGTGATTAGTACAATGGCACTACAATATTTTTACATTTATTTTCCCTTTTCTGATGCATTTTAATGCCTTGTTTGCTCTTTGCAGCCTTGGCTACAGCAGGCACTTTGTTATTGACAATCTTAGAAAATAAAACTCATCCTATTGAATGGCTGTTGTCCAGCAAAAAGACACACCAGAAATATCTTCTAATACATATTTTTCAACTCTTACTTTGTATGCCACCACATTACTGATTTTTGCCTGTTTTTTAATTAATTTTATGCCAAAATCTAAACACTGCTATGTGAGTTTCCTTCCTGTTCTGGATCTCTGATTAATATCCTGTAGATCTGTGAGCAGCTACTGGGGCATCACACTGTTGCATTTTGCTGTTATCAAATGCAAGGATTTGTGTGGTTTCTAAGTTATCACAGACTGATTGTGTTTCTACACAGTCTCTGTTTTTACTTTCTTTCATTTTGCCATATTAATCTCCAGTGAATGACAATTGAGTCTTGGGGTTAAGTACTTTTGGAACAAAGAACATTCACTTTAAAATAAATACTTTTAAAAAAGATACTTCAAATTTATTCACACATGCTGCAAAATAAGCTTTTTAAAACAGTTTTATTAAAAAATATTTAAAACTTTTTTATGTTAATAAAAGCACAGAATTTCTATCCTGAATTACAGTAATTCAAAATGCCTATACATATGCCTATGTATAGGCATATACGCCAACCTAAGAAAAAATGCGTCTACAACACAATATAATGGCTTTGCACGTTTGTGCACATAAAGAATATATTTTGTGTCCTTTTTCTTAATGTCAGAGGGTGTATCCTCCCCCTCAGATGAAACATTTAACAGTAGCAAGTACTGTTAATGGCTCCCTAAGAGTCATGAGTGAACAAGTCCTGGACAGATCAACTGTAGAATAAAAAGATATGGTAATAACCATCCTTCTTGAATAAATGGATTTATTTTCTGAGTGTATGTGCTGATGACAAGCTGCTGTCTCGCCTCTGCCCATCCATCCAGGCCAGTGTCTTGATGCTGGTGAAAGAGAAGCCACCTGGCACGGTGCCCTGCAGAGAGCTGAGGCTGCTCTTACAGCTGAGCAGTGATTTGTAATCGCAGCAGAGAAAACTTGCATGTCCCTCTCCTGTGTTTCACATTTAGGACACCTTCTGTCATAGTATTCAGAAAATCTAGAGGCAGAAATAAAGCTGAAGTAAGTAATTACACAGCACTAGCTTATTGTTAAATGCATCTGCATTTGCTTAGCTTTTCAAAGTTCCTGCTTTTGTCAATTGCTTGCTGGTGAGTTCAGTGGCTGGTCTGAAACACATTACAGAGCATCTTGATCCCCCGTAGACTGTGTGTGGAATGAACTTGTAGATTCAGTGTGGTAAGTGATGTGAACTCCACACCACTTGCAAACATACCCAGGTAAATGCCAGTTCTTAAAGAGCATCTTCAGATACTTCTTAAATTTTTCCCCCATGAAGAAGTAGATGACTGGATTGAGGCAACAGTGAAAAAGGCCAAGGATTTCTGTTACCTGGAAAGCATAGTCCAGATTCGTGCTCACTTGACAGTCTCTAATGACTCCCGTAGTTTCCAGCAGTTGTAAAAAAATAACGATGTTGTAAGGGGTCCAAAAACAGAAAAACACAATCATGACAGCAAAGATCATCTTCACAGCCTTATTCTTTTTCTCATTTCTACAGTGAACTAATGTTTTAATGATCATGGAGTAGCAAAATGTCATAACTATAAAAGGGATTAGGAGCCCTAAAATGTTGATTTCCAAAGTGGAAAAAAGTTTCCATGTTGTGAAATTGCCTGGATATCTCAGCTTGCAGGTAGTATAATTATGTTCATTAAAAGACTCTCTAAATACAAGCTCAGGAACAGAGGCCAAAAAAGCTACGAGCCATATGACAAGGCTAGTAATCAAGCCATGGAAGGCAGTCCTTGCTTTCAAGGAAAACACTGCACGAACAATTGCCAGGTATCTGTCTATGCTCATAAGCATAATAAAAAATATACCACTGTAAAACCCGACCAGGTAGATCCACGAAATGATTTTACACCAGGGAGTTCCAAAAACCCATTGGTCTAGCATGAAATAAGACCAGAACGGCAAGGATAAAACAAAGAGCAAATCTGAGATGGCGAGGTTTAGCAGGTACACATCAGTCATGCTCTTCAGCCTCTTGTATTTGAAGAGGACCACAATGACCAGAATGTTTCCGGTGAGCCCGACCAGGAATACTAGGCTATACAGAACTGGTAGGAAGGAGGCTGAAAACCTCCTGACGCTTTCCTTACTGCATGGCTTTGGAGCATCGTTATAGTTATCATAATATTCATAGAAGGTTGAGAGGTCAGGGGACTCTGTACTTGCAGAACTCATGCTTTTTCCCCAGTTCCTGAGAAGGAAAGAATATGAAAATGTCAGTGACTTTCAGTGCGTCAAGACTGTATGGTTACTCCGCAGCCCTGAATCATGAGCAGTGAATGACTTACAGTTCCCATACATGTCTCATTACAGGTTCTCAGACATTATGTAAGCATTATGGGATGCATGTGCATGATTGCAGAATGTACTGTCCTTAACATGCATGCGCTTAGTCCTTGCGGCACTGTGCAACTTGGATGTCAAGCACACAACACGACACTGGATGAGAGGAAAGCAAATGGGAATGAAAGACCACGGATATCAAATCAGAGAGGGTTTAAGTCCTTTGTGGAGTAAAGTAAAAAGCAAAGCCACTGTTTATAGCAGTTCAGGATTTCACCCACCTTTCCCACCAGGCAAACATCACCATAAGAAGAAAGTAATAAAAATGCATCAGACTTTTCCAATGAAATTATACTTACTGAAAGCTGAAATGAGTTTTGTGCTGTCTTCAGTAGCTAAATGACTAACAGGAATTTGTCATATGTATGCACTTTTCTAATAGGCGGATACAGAGTTTTAAGTGATGTTACTTTGAGGTAACTTGCACACCATATGAATTTATTGTTGATGTATCACTGTGTGTGTTATTCACATCACAGCAAGTGTCATTCTTTTAGCCTGACATATGAGAACTCTAAGCCTGAGCTATGTTCTTCCCCTTTGTCCTTATTTTTATGAATAGAAAGCAGAAGAAAAGTGAGTTTCACTGCTTTACTTGTCTTTACTTTGTACATTGCTGCAACATAACAGCAAACATTGACTATCCTTAACCTGACCCATCCTGTGTGTAGTCCCAAGCATGACAACTTTGCAGCCTACAACTCTGTTCTATTATACACAGAGAAGAACTGAATCTGACTTACAAGTCAAAAGTGTCAAAATCATTTGACACCAATGGTCTAGAGATGACAGCTTTGCAACAGCTGTTCCCAGACATACCTGAATCTAATCTAGGTTCAGTATAATATACTCAAATATTTAAAACTGAAAAACATATGATCACAGAATTCACATATACCCACTTCTGATGATGCAAAAATTCTTAAAAGTGCTTTAAAAATTACCCGAGCAGCTAAAAAAGGTAAATGAAAAAGCATTACATTCACACACATCATGAGTGTACATGATACACAACTGTTTCAAAATTGCATTTTATGAATTTTACCTTTTCTCCTCCTTTCTTCTCAGATGATGTAAAGAAGCTTCTTTGCTCTAAGGGTGCAGAATCAGTTGCTTCTCACCAGGTAGCTCTGCCAGGGAGGTGTTACCCACACAGCAATATCCAGCAGCTGCAAAAAGCAGATGTCACTAGGTAGCTGTGTCTCATAGCGGAAGCTTCCGACTTCCTTACAGATTGTATCACAAGTGCTTCTCTCCTCAGTGCTCATCAGAGATAGTCCCTTTAAGTCAGAAAGAGAATTAAACACATAATGTTTAAGAAAATGCAGATTCCACCGAGGGCCTGATTACTGAGTTAAAACAGCTTCATCTTATCCAATAATCATTAAAATAGGTGTCGCTAAAAGCAGCTCTCATTTAACAGAAACCTTGTTCTTTCTTACGGGTTGTAAAGTGCATCTTAGAAAAAATAATCAAAGGATCATTTGTAGTGAGCAGAGAGGAGGCAGGCAGTTGGTGGGTGTGTGGGAGGTGTGTTTCTAGTTCTTCTCTGACAGATAACTAATTTTGCAAGTTGCACTATGTAATTGTACAAGAAAAAAGCTGTATAGATACAGTGTAGGGAAGGCTCCTTTTAATCACTGTTGTTTGATCTTCCTAACCCCTACTTATCTTACTAAGAAAAGAAACGAAGGCATGTTAATTCATGCTGCCTTTTTGCTTGATGTTTCCTGTAGTGGGTTTTATATACAGCAAATCTGCCTCCTACCACTGACCTGTACACACTGTAACAGCAGTCAGAATATCAGATAAGAAGTAGGATGTGCGCACGCGCACGTGCGGTCTGAGGGCAGAGGGTGCTGAGGTTTACTGTGGTTCTTTGTCGCAGCAGAAAGCTCAGCAGCTTCTATGAATTTCTGCTGAGAGTGTGGTGGGCCCTTATTTGTCTTTTGGGGGATCCTGGGAATGGAGAAGAGACCACAGAGAACATGTGTTAGTCAAACGGGATGGTTTTGTGTTCTGCCAGCAGACCAGCTGTGCTAGTAGCTGGCAGGTGCTGTTCTCCTCTGTATCCCAGAAAAGGCCAGCCAAGCAGAAGTGTAAGCCATTTCTCAAGAGGGGAGCCTGCTTTCTTGTTAGCAGGAGAAACTGAAGACACACAATGAGAAATAGAAACACGAAAGCTACAGTTGGGAGGGTAGGAAGAATCAGAGAGAGATCTCAGTCCAGAAGTTTTCTAGTTCATTCTCTGGTGTTATTCCAGATCCAGGTATAGCTTTTGCTCAGTTATGCTGTTTGCTGCTACCTCATATACCTCTGACACTGCTACTCTGCCCAACAACTTACATTTGGCTGAAGAGTTTCTTCCAGAAAAGCTTGCTGTGAAGACAGCATGTGATGTGGGATCTACCAGTTTCACGTTTTGCCAGAATAAAACAATTGTATGGGAAGGAGCTTCTCAATCATCTTTCAAAATTTCCGTATGTGGAAATTTTTAAATTGGTCTCTGAGAGACATTCCTCCAGTGCAGGTTATTGCTCTGCAGATTGTGTACGTTTTCTCTTCAGTTTACTAGCAGTCCTTTAAATATGTGGACATCAGATAAGCAGGCAACATGGTGGTACCAGTTTCATCAGCTCTGCTCACAGAAACTAGAAGCTGTTCCTCTTGCTGCTCTTTTGTCTGTGTAAGGACCTAATTAATCTCTTGTTGCACTAGGGCCACAAGTTCAGCTCTTCACCCACAATAACAATGACATAAAATCTTTCTTTAAGCACCTGCTTTTCAGGAACAAAAACGCCTCTTGCTCTGTAGGCATTGTTCTTTTCTAGTTTTGGCTGTAGTGGTTTTGCCTCAATAAACCACCATGCATGAGCATGCTTATCTTGTCCCACTCATTATTTTCAACTCTATCAAACTAGGTATCTTCTTTGAATTTCATCAGTGGTAATTTTTCTTGATTTCCAGATAAAGTAGTGAATAGAACTGAATTCAGATATGATCTCTCTTCAACCTTGTAAGAACCCTGCTTGGTTAAGGAATGATTTCCCATCATCAACAACCTTTTGAGATCTGTTGACCTGTCCTTAGCATTCAAACCACACTTCAGATGTGCTCCTTATCTTCCAGTCGCACTGTTAGCAGGGAACAAGTCTGCAGCCTTATGAATGCCAGTTTAGTATGATCCATATGGCACTGGCCTGAAGAAAGTACCTTCCTGCCATGTTGCCTTTTGACCAGCCCTTTGGAAGACTTTCAAGTAGCAAGTACTTCCTAAGCAGCTTTTTGTATCCACTTGCCACCTGAGGTGCAAGGTTGGGCTGATACAACCAGAGCAGCAGGGCAGCAAAGATTCCTTGTCAGGGTGTGTTTGTGTGACTGTGGTGGGATGGAGGGGAATGGCTGGACCACAGTGTCTTGTAAAGCAGCTGTTATTTTGCAGACACCAGTGCATTTCATGCTGCATCAGCAAATGGGAAAGTCTGTCTTTGTAAGGAGACCGAGCAAAAGCATCTCTGCAGAAAGAGGAATGCTCGGCCACAAAAAGAGATTAATGGTTGCAGCTACAGATGATGAAAATCTGTGAACTCCAGAAAATGAAGATTAAAAAAAATGTCAGTTCATGAAAATCAAGAGGATAAGAATGAATCTAGAAACATCTTCTGATGGCCTACCCATGAAAAGAGTCCCTGGGAGACCCTGCAAGGAAAACTGCAGAGAAGACAGAAAAAATAAAAAGAAATGTCTGAGCAAATGAGACAGTGCAGAAAATAGAGGAAAGGTGTTGTGAGTGCAGGTCCTGCAATGGCTTGGGGAGAAAGAAGAGTGAAAGGGACTGAATATAACTATAGTCTCTAGCAGGGGAGCTCTGAGGTCCCCTTCTAACATGACAACCTGTCTTTTCCAGGTCCTGCATGGAGAACCTGGCGAAGACTAACAGAAAGAGAATGGCAGGAGATGGCCAGAGTAAGAGGAAAGGAGGAAGGGTTCTCAGTGATGCTGCTGTAAAACTAACATGTCTGCAGGGGAAAGGGAGAAGTAAGAAGTTGTCTTACCTCTCTACTAGATGGTATCAGGTATGTGGCACTGACCAAATAAATAACGAGAGTGCAGAGAGGTGAACCAAACCTGATTAGCCTGACTGAGAGGAGATTAACCTTTCATATGGGTTGGTGAGGTGGGGGGGGGGCACCATTAAATCCAACAGGAAGGAACTTAATAAAAGCAAAATGCAGAACCACCCACACCATGAAAACATTGCTTCTCATCCAAAGATTATTTCAGTCATTCCCATCATTTGTGGGAACTCTTATCATTAATTTGCCATTTTACGGGATACATAAGATTCTTTCCCAAGGAGGGACTGGAGATAGACATTTATCTAACCCACTAGCTAGGCTGTGAGATACTCACCACTGATATAAAAGTGCACTACCCATTCCCTATGATCTCAGTGTTGGCCATGGGTAGACAATTCAGAGTGTGTTTATTTGACAAGCCCTCATTCAGAAGGGGCTGCCCCAGAAGAGAAGCAGATGACAGTAAACAAAGACAGATGACTGTTGCAAAATCAGTATTTTGACTGACTGTGTGGATCAGTGCAGGATCCAGGCTGCCAAAGTCACAGATGGACAAATTATTACCTTTCTCAAAAAACCATCCTCTCCATCAGGTGGCCAACTCCTTAGTGTGTGGTCAGGCCTTGCGCAGTTCTTTTGCAATTCAAGTGATTTTGGATCACAGTTTGCACATCTGTGTCTCCCATCCTTGCTTGTTAGCAAAACGTTTGTGCCACCTGTTCCTTGTACAGTTTGTTTCCTTGTATTTTTCAATGTATTCCAGATT